GAGCAGCTTCTTCATCTTTGTTTTCTTTGGCGCTACACAGTGTTCCAGACAATTAGGCATTCAATAAGTTGTCTTTTGTCTTTGAACAAAATTTCTTAACCTTTTCTCCCTATAGCTTGTGTAAATCGATAGCAGAACAAAGACAGGCATTTCTTACAACAACCAAGGAAAGGAAGTTGATAGAGCCAGGAACACCCACGTCCTAAAGGAACACGGCACATAAAATGAGAAGAAGGAAGATCTACGCTTTATTAATGACAATATGAAAACCATATTAAGCCAAAGAGAAACTGCCTTGAAACAGCCCTGTTACTTGATGTATGGGCAAACACCTGCTGACATTCAAAAGCCAAATGATTTATTGTATTTTATTCTATGTTATTAATAACATTCAACAAACATCTCAATGGTGTAGGCGTTTTTTTGAATATTTAAAAATAAAAAAAAAATAATATTTGTATTTATTTTCTATGTCGGTGTGACCGAGTTGTTTGTCAAAAGATGTTTGACTTTCTTTTTTTTTTTCATTTGGGAAAAATAAATGAGGGCTAATATATGCTTTATTTCGCCTAATAAACATATAACCAAAGCTGGTACGTACTAACTCCTACCTACCATTTTTTTGACAGACATCAAGCATGATAGGGGCTGGGGGGAAAAAAAAAACTCTCTATCTGATCATTAAATTTTCTTTTTTTTATATCTATATTTATATACGTTACAAATTAAGCACTGCTGACAGGATGAAAAATTTTCGCGGACTTTGACATCATTTTGAGGTCTTTTTTTTTTTATCGTCCAAATCTTTGAGTGTAAGCGACAGAAATATACAAGACCAGCTGGAAACAGAAAAACTAACACATTTTTTTCATCAAAAAATAATCTGGCCAAAACATTGGATAAAGCGTTTGAAAATGTTATTTGCTGATATGAATGTTAAATTTAATTCAGAATATCCCCTTTTTTCCTTTATTCTTTTTCGATAATTTATGCATTCACCTAATAAACACTATTAATTTATAAACTTTAAACAACAATATAAACAGAGCCAGTGCGTACTAACTGACCGAGGGGAAACTTAATTTATAAGTAAGGGCAATGCGGAAGTTACCACGCTAACCTTATCAACATCATTTTTTTTTTTTACCTACATAATTTTTACAAATTGCGTCTTGATTATAGCGATAAACTACATCCGCTTCCTGGGTAAGACGATAAACTACATCCGACAACAAAGCCTTTGATCAAATTTTTTTTTTTTGTTTGAATTGCAAAATTGCTGGTGAGAAAGGTCCAAATTTGACTCGAGATAGTAGCACCTGCCAGGGTCCCAGATATGGGCAAATAGTTACCTCCCCTCCCCAACAGACACCAAAAAGAAGCCCAAACAGTATGTAATTATAAAATACCAGCAATACTTTTTGTGAAAAAAAATATTACCAGCAATCCATTTTTGAAATAAAAAAATTTACCAACTATAAATTTTGAAAAAAAAAATTACATTTTGAAAAAAACTTACTGTTATGGTCGAGGTTAGAACCAAGGAAGAACAACACGAACACAAGAGTAGAAATGACGAAAGTTTATTACACGAAATAATAATACAAGATGTGGAAGGTGTTAGTATGACTGTCAGTCTGGTTTGGAGTGAACTACTATCGGTTCGACTCGATTCGATATTTACTTCCCCCCCACGAGGGAAAGATGTGTCACAAGGCCGAATTTTATGTGGGTTTTTCCAAAAAATGCCCGTAGAAACTGTAAAAACAGAATCGGGTTAGTCAACATCCCGGAACGAGACTCTGCCCTTCGGCGGAGCCTCGTCCGAGTTCCTCTCTGCTCAGAGGCAGAGAGTTCGACCGTCAAGCCGAGAAGCTCGGCTTAATTCGGTATCTAGCCACCCCGAGGGTTGCATGTGGCACAAGGCCGAGTTTAATGTTGGTTACCCGAGCCCGTAGGCTCGGCCAAAAAATGCCCGTATAACCCGTATAAACGGGATCGGATTGGTCAACCTCCCTGAACGAGATTCTGCCCTTTGGCGGAGCCTCGTCCGGGTTCCTCTCTGCTCAGAGGCAGAGCGCTCGACCGTCAAGCTGAGAAGCTCGGCTTGATTCGGTATCTAGCCACCCCCCACCCCACGAGGGTTGCATGTGGCACAAGGCCGAGTTTAACGTGGGTTTCCCGAGCCCGTAGGCTCGGCCAAAAAATGCCCGTAGAACCCGTATAAACGGGATCGGGTTCGTCAACCTCCCCGAACGAGACTCTGCCCTTCGGCGGAGCCTCGTCCGGGTTCCTCTCTGCTCAGCGGCAGAGAGTTCGACCGTCAAGCCGAGAAGCTCGACGATTCGACTCTCTCTCTTGAGAGTACATAGTGTTAGGAAGAGTTCATTCTGTAGTTATAGATAAGGACACATGATACTTACTAGGAATACATTTTTGGAATAAAATATTACCAGCAATACATTTTTGAAAAAAAAAATATTACCATCAATAAAAATCTTGTCGGTATTAAATAACCCATTGAGGTTGATATGCCGTAAAACAAACCAAACATTACATATGAATATTTGAAGATTGTTCAGTATCTTTCTATAGAACCATCTATATCTGTTACCTTAAGTCTCCTCTTCATTGAAATTGTCTAGCGTTCACTACCATATAAGAGGATTGATATTACAGTTCAGAATTATTTTCTTTATTTCTGGTACCTCAAGTCTCCTCTTCATCTCTGAGGTAATTGTCCAGCATTCACCTCCACATAATAGTTCAGCACTGTTTTCATTTTTCCCTAACGAAATTTTGACAAAGTCTAATATTCTTACACAAAAAAAGGAAGACGGTGAGTAAAAGGACGGTTTTTCATGCAACACCGCTATTACGGTTTTTCATGTGACACCGCTATTACTGGAAACCCCCTCGGCAATTTTTATTATTTTAAAATACTATCTTTAGAATTTTAATAAAACCCAAACATATGAAACTAGATCCATGTAATTTCTTTATACTTGAGGATGACAACAAAGATTAAATATTTTTAAATATTATTAACAAGAATAATTTTATACTTACAAGTTTATAAAAATATGTGACCAACTACGATGCAATATTTATAATTTTTTACCATATTATAATAAAAATGGCTATGAAAATAATTTTTTTATTTATAAATTTATAAAAATGTCGATAAACAATCAAAGAAGAAAATTTAAATAAACCCACGAAGAGTAATTAATTATAAAATTTGAAAAAAAAAAGGACATTTTACAGGTATTTCTTTCATTTGCATTTGTAAACTTTAGTGAAGAGAAGTGAGGTAAAAGACAATAAAAGAACAGGTTTCAGGAAAACAGAATTGAGGTTTTAAAGATTGTACTTGTAAGGGAAGCAAGAAAAGGGAGTTCCACAAGCGAGAAATGCGAGAAAAGATATTGTCAGAATAGAAGTGGTGGTTGCATCTTGCTAGGTCAACTGTAAAACGATAAAACCTAATTACCAATCTAGTAGCAGAGAAGTCACTGAAAAAAAAGCTCATCACAGTTATGATGAAAATATTTGTAAAAAAGACAAAAGGAAGACACGTCACGTTGGTGAGAAAGTGAGTGAAGTTGAGATGCCAGTTTAAGGTCGATTACATTTGAATTATACTTTGCGTTCAAATCACTGCTTTCTCGCGGTGGGGAGTCCCGATGGTGAAGCTATTCTGCCTTATGGCCCATTTTGTTGTTTGTTTTAGTAAGTTAAAAAATACACTTTTCTTCTTTTATGAAATTTAGCCAAACATGGCTCTCCACGATTTCCTGTTTTCTTTGCTCTAAGTGACTTTTGACACTGTACCGTCCCATTTTCACTGTTCTGCCGTCTATTCGCAAAAAAAAAACAAAAAACTGGTCATTGCCTTCAACATAGCCAGAGGATATTACATTCTCCGAGCCTTCTTTCCTCATTATGTGTCCCAGAAATTTGAATTGCTTCTTTCCGATTGTAAGTATAAGTCTCCTATTTTCTTTGGGACTTCTTCTTCTTCTGTGTGCCGCATCAAACATAGGCGATCATGGCCTTCCACAACTTCCTATTACTTGTCACCCTTAGCAGTTTTTCCCTCTTTGCTAATGCTCCCGACCCCCGGTTCGTCAGGTAAGTGACTCATTACGCTCCCTTGCTCTCAATATGCCCTGTGAGTGTTAAGTTTTCTAAGCTCTCTTTCCTCATTATGTGTCCAAATATTTATTCTTGATTCTGTAGATAAGTGTTCTTTCTGTTGCCATTTTCTTTAAGACTTTCTTGTTGCTTAAATTCTCAGTATCCTTCTGTAGAACCACATTTACGCTGCCTCCAGTTTTCTCCTCATTCGTGTGTGTGCAGGGTGGGGTTGTCCAGCATTCACTGACATATAAGAGGATGAATAACGCATAGCAATGCCCCACTCTTTTCTTTGTTTCTAACGAAATTTTTCTGTTTCTCAACATGTTGCTTAACTTTTGAAATTCTTTCGCTAGTCCAACGCGTGTTAGGGTTTTGAGGCCACATTTTACATCCTCTGTTAAAACGTCTCAGATAGTTAAATGTCTGTACCTGCAATTCTCTAATTTGTAACGCGCATCGTGGGCTTTTTCTCTTGCTGATGACCATACCTTTTGCCTTCTTGGTTCGCCATTTTTTTCTAGCTTTCTTTTATCACCCTGTCTAGAAAATTCTGTAGATTTCTTTCCACCATCACCACAGCGTCACCAGTGTATCTTATTGTGTTAAGATAACGTCCAGCTTCATTGTGGAGGTTGAATAAATCTGGAGAGAAGAGGCACCCTTGCCTTACTCCCCTTTCTATTTTTGTATCACTACTCCATTTTCTATCCGTATGCAGGCAGGTTGGTCCCAGTATGAGTTCTGGATTATTCTTTTCCAAATAGATCTAGTTCTCCTAGCAGTGGTGTTAACATGCAAGACAACAAACATTTCGTGTTCATATTCCTATCTTTTTTTTTCTTTTCAGATGATGAAACATGTCCATAGGAAGCTACAATGCGTTTGGTTCGAACTTGGCCCGGCGGCAGAACTTCGCCAACTCCAGTAACAGGTCCTACTACTCAAGTATCGGATCGCACACGAAAAGTGAACATATGTGGTGGAACTATGCTGACAATGGCAAGAACACAGTCCACAACCACCGCGCTCTTCTCTATAGCAGCGCCGCGCGCGGAGAGGAAGAGATATGGGATCTGTCCGACTCCCTGGCCGACCTTTACAGTCGTGTCAACGAAGAGAACGCTGCGGCGGCGAACAGCTTCACGATCCACCGCGACCACAGCAAGGATGTCGACGTAAAGAAGTGGATTAACGAGGACACTAGTCACGGCTTTATACGAGTGTTTGTACCCAACAGTGATATAAATACATCTCGCCTCATTCCGTGCACGCTGCGTACGACGGCCCAGCGTGTGTGCATGCAGTGCGGTATACCGGCTACCTCACTGCACGTGCAGTTTAATGGGGACATTATCACTCGAATGGAACCGACTGACCATCCGCTGGCGGTACAGAATGAATTTTTAGGGAATCTCGGTTATTCGGAACCCAAAAAAATACAAGAACAAGGATATAATAATGAACTTCATTATCTTGTAAAATTCTATTCAGGTAAACGTTTATTTTATGTACAGGTAGTGTAACTGATATTAATGCGACATGGGGAAATGGTGAGCCGAGTTCAAATTCCAGACTAGCCTTTTCATTTAACTTCCGAACTATAGCCTTTAGGAAACACATAAATCCATCTTTTCTCTCCCCCCCAGCTATGGGTTAAATAGAAGTATAGACAGAGCTCTCTAACCTAGGCTATCAGCTGTCTTAGAGAACCAAAAATTCAAAACCGTGAAGAAGAAAATAGCAAAATCATTCCAAGAAGTCATGGCAATTCTTTGGGAAAAGCATAAATCCATCTCTTCCCCCTCCAGCTATGGGTTAAATAGTAGGGTAGACAGAGATCTCTAGCCTTGGCTGTCAGCTGTCTTAGAGATCAAAAAATTCAAAACCGTGAAGAAGAAAATAACAAAATCATTCCAAGAAGTCATGGTAATTCTTTCGGAAAAGTATAAATCCATCTCTTTCCCCTCCAGCTTGGGATTAAAGATTGGGTGTCAGCTATCTCAGAGAAGCAAAAATTTTAAAGAGTGAAGAAAATAGCAAAATCATTCCAAAAAGTCATGGTAATTTTGGGGGAAAAGCATAGATCCATCTCTTCCCCCTCCAGCTATGGGTTAAATAGTAGGGTAGACAGAGATCTCTAGCCTTGGCTGTCAGCTGTCTTAGAGATCAAAAAATTCAAAACCGTGAAGAAGAAAATAACAAAATCATTCCAAGAAGTCATGGTAATTCTTTCGGAAAAGTATAAATCCATCTCTTCCTCCTCCAGCTATGGGTTAAATAGTAGGATAGACAGAGCTCTCTAGCCTTGGGAAATCTCACTAATGTGCCATGTAATTCATGGATAATAAAATAATGGAAATGTTGAAGTACTTTGAAGGAACGTAGTATTATTGGAACTACTTAAACTGAGTGGTCCGCACGTAAAATATAGGAAAGAATATTTTAACAAACCTTGTGGATTAATATTCTTTAGACATCAGACTCTAAAGATATTGATAATATTTCCATCAATTTAGAAAGAGGGTACACTGTTAATAATATAAATACAGTGTCAAATCGATTCCTGATTTCATAAAGTTATCTGTACTTTGCTTTTATTTACAAATGTCAAGTTTGAAACTGTCTTTGGAATCATTACTAACTGCGTAATATTACGAAGTGACGACGAAGTCATCAGTAGTACGCGGTTAGCAATGACGTAGATGATATCAACCCCTTCACATGAAGTGGAAGGGCGTGTTGAAAATGTCCTCACTCTTGACATTGCCATCAGACTTGGGTGATTGGTGAAGTTTGGTACAAATTAAATTACCAGCAATAATTGTTCAGAAACTTGTTTAAAATTTGGATGGATTTCGAAATGAAAAATATTGACCCTACATTAATTTGGGATTGCTTCAGAAATGTTGGTTTTATTAGATCATTTATGTTAGATTTTTTAAAGGCTTCTGGTGGTAAATCAAAAATTATTGATACTACATTGTTTTGATGCGATTAAAAATTAATTCGATGTTATTATAGAAGTCTTTGGATTAAATCTTTTAATCGCTTCTAGTAGGAAATCATTTAAAAGTTTTTGATTGTACATTGAATTGGTATTGCTTGAAAAAACTCGATTTTATTATGAGAAACTTTAGGTAAAGTTTTTTAAAGGTTTCTTATTGGAAATCAGTTACAAGTTATTGATCGTGCATTGATTTGATTTTGATTGCAAAACATCAGTTTTATTAAGACAATTTATTTAAAATTTTGTTAAGATTTCTGATTGGATCGGGCCTGCTTTCGTTTGTTTTACGGTATATCAACTCCTTATGGGTCATCTATTGCCGACCTGGTTGGAATGGAAGCTAGGCACATTTGTGCTTAGTTTCCATTTGCGTGTATGTGTCTGGCTTGCAAATAAAAAAAAGTCAGTTTTATTATTATACCTTCTTTACAACCTGGATGTGTAATATTTTGGATTTTCTGCTCATAAAACATTTTCTACCTTTTTCTCATAAGAACGTATACATATGTACAGTGATAAACGGTATTAATAAACGTTTCCTTATAGGAATGTTCGCATCAATCTGTTCGATTTATTTCAATCATTTTCATTTTGCAATGAAAACCAATAAACAATATTTATTCCGACTTGTACTACTATTTATGTTTTGTATTGCAACAGGGAAACCAATTGAGGACAATACCTACTCCAAGAATCAGTTATCGTCAATCTTGTTCGTTCGCAAAGGGAAACTGATCTACCAATGGATTCAACGGTTTTGTTCTATTTCCGGTACACGGCTTTTTATACACAGAGGTAAAAAGAAAAAAGTTTCTTTCTCTCTCTCCTCCCTCCCTCCCTCTCTCTCTCTCTCTCTCTCTCTCATCTATATATATATATATATATATATATATATATATATATACCCAAGTATAGGATTGGTGTATACGGAATAAATTCCAATAACCAACAAATACTATTCTTAAAAGAGTGCTCAATACAGAGTAGAGCGGATATAATTATTTATTCGAAAATTATAACATAAATATGTTATAGAATCCCAACAAAAATAATCATTTTGTTTCAACACTTCTGGTGTCTTATCAAGTGATGATGTTGAATCAACACCGTCACTTGATAAGACACCAGAAGTGTTGAAACAAAATGGCTATTTTTGTAGTGATTTTATAACATATTTATATTATAACTAATTATATATATATATATATTTAAATAAGTTTTTTATGGTACAAAATTTAACGATAGCTAGGAATTTATATGGCATTTTAGAAAGCTAAAAAAGAACAACCGGTTTCGTCCCAGCCTTATCAAGTTTATTTTCTGGGATATAAAAAATATATAAGCGTGTAAATTAAATTAATATAACGAATGGGAGGAAAAAAATGAATTTCAAGAAATCTAGAGTCCAATATCATTCAGACCCAGTAAGCATTTCCTCTGTTTACAAAGGGAAGGCCCACGGATCTGATATACAAGGACTCTAGGACCTTGAGGTGAAATGAGGAGTGGGACTTAAATAGAATCAAAAAACGGTCGCCACTAAAATCAGTCACACAATTCCTGCTATTTATTACATGCTCAACAATTGCAGAGCTCCAAATTATTATTATATATATATATATATATATATATATATATATATATATATATATATATCAAATCTGTAAGTGAGGCTGCGTTTAGCATGAAACAGATTATCGCCTCTGGGTATTGACTTCAATGTTCACTTTTATATTTGCATACACTCTATCCATGATATTAAGCACTTTAACCCATAATATAGCATACCTTAAAACTATAATTTATCATATATATACATGTGTGTGAGCGTGTGTGTGTGTCCGTGTGTGTTCATTGTCCCATTTTCACAGATGACTGTTTTTTGCCCATCAACACCTACATTCATTCTAGATCATTATTTCCTTTCGAATGACTTCGAAGGTGGCTCTTCAATCCAGCAGCTGATTCGCAAGTCTTATAGCACTGAAAAAGGATTTGAGAAAAGCTATTACCAGGAACTTGGATGATAACACTGCTAGCTGGAAATGCGAGACATGTGGGAGTATCCTACTGTCAAAAGTTGGCTATGTTAATCATCTGAAATCACATGAGAAACGACTCCACTCCATGTTACCTCCACGACTCCGGAAGTATGTGAATCGACATCTGGATTGAAGAGGCATATGGTGATGCGCAAGGATGACCTACCACAGCAACATCCGTTTAACCCTGTGAAATCTCTGGGGTACACCTATCTATCTATCTATCTATCTATCTATCTATCTATCTATCTATCTATCTATCTATGTCCGTGTCTATCACTATTCTATCTTTGCCAAATCATAGAGATTAAAGAAAAGCACTGTGAAATGCGATGATCGTCTGCGTTCATAAGCGACATGACATATTAAAAACATTCTGCCTGTTATATTGTTATCGACTACCATGTCACTTGCTCGCCACCATGTACAAGCACACGTACACACATATGCAAACGCACAGATAGATAGATAGATAGATAGATAGATAGATAGATAGATAGATAGATAGATATTCGTAGACAAGAGATGAGATGAGATAGATAGATAGATAGATAGATAGATAGATAGAATAGATAGATAGATAGATAGATAGATAAAGAAACCCGTGCAGATGTCATGGTAATTCATAGATAATAAAGTATAAGGTCTTTGTGGAAGCCGTAAAGATATAGGCGCTACGGACTAATGATAACACTGAACATTACATTTTATGTCATCTCTGGACTTGATGAGCTAATCAGTCAGTGTGTTCCCAAATGTCAGGCTCGCATCGCTGGATAAAATGGACTCCAGAAGGGGTTTACTTCGAAGGAGGTTAAATACTGAATTGATATATGTTGTAGTTTTCTTTTTATAGCACCAGTCGCAGTACTCTTTTTATCAGTTCTCGTGTATCTAAACTGTCTTGAGGGTGTCTGTGTCGAAAGGTGAAATTATTTCATAGATTCATATTGTCTATAAAAGTATTTATGTGATTTCTAGGATCGATGCTGATTTTTAAGCCGTTTTTTTTTTTTTTCAGATAAACATCCAACGTCGAAGAAATCAGCGATGCAGTTAGCCAAGGGTTATGTGGAGGAAGTGAAATTCAAAGATCACGCGCATGTATTGAAATTGACAAGTACATTACAAGGTGATCGCTCTGTCTACCTTTCCTTCTTGAGTGTTACGCTTTATAATAAGTGGTTGAAACGAGCCCAGAAGGTGAGAAATATGTTTTTTCGATATTTTTTTACTCGTTATACAGTGTAACCCGGATATAAGAGAGTTGTCGGGACCGGAGAAGAAGTCTCTTATATCCGGGTTTGGTCTATTTTGTTTAGGTAAGTATGGGTTCTAATTTGGGACCAGAGAAAATCTCTCTTATACCCGGGTTTCTCTTATATCCGGGTTACACTGTATACCTAAGATTGATGTAATAAATTTAAGCGAAGCTGGAATTATTGGGGTTACGTTGATTTTCCTCTTTGTGTGTGTGTGTGTGTGTGTGTGTGTGTGTGTGTGTGTGTGTGTGTGTGTGTGTATGCAAACTGCTGATGTACTGACGATAATTACGGAGTCTATCGTGCTCTAGATTAAAGTGCGGCAAACCCCAGCTTCCAGGCCACATCCGAAACGAAATTTTTTTGCCCGGCCCACTTATTGAATGGCCGCGAAGGATTTTTGCCCGGCCCGCCAACTTCAGCACCTGGACACAAATTATTTAATTAATTTGTGGAGCAAGTGGCAGAAGCATATCAGTTGGAGTTAATCAACTTACAAATGCGACGAATTTTTAGAATCAAAATGTAATTATGAACCCACTGCTAACTTCTAGAAGAAATATGTTTTGCCAAGCGAAAAATATAAAAACCTATTGAATGGTATCATTATTTGGAAGTACATGTGCTTGTGAACAACGTTTTCGAAAATGAAATATACTAAAATTGTTTTTCGAACAAGGTTGGATGGTGACCACCTGGATGACGTTTTCTCCTCCTGCCGACAAATATTTCACCCGATCTGGAGTTATCGAACTATAAGCAGAAACAAGTGTCTCATTAAATAATTTGCCATTTTTAACTGTATTTCATTTGTAGCAAGGAATTTGCATTTCTTGTTGATTGTGTTAGTCGTTATCCTGTTATATCTGCAGTAAAATAAGAAAACTTACTAAATAGTTTAAATAGTATAAAATTAATTCGTTGTTTTTTCTTTAAACCCCCAGACCAAGGACGTAGCGGTCAGAGGTCGAGACAATTTATGATAGTAAATTGTTATGTCCCTCCTCCAAGACACTGCATAGTTTTCTGGCTCTCTCAATTCAAAAGGTTGCTGACCCCTGCTCTAGGTAAAAAAAATAGTGAAGCCTGGGCTGTAACATTGGACATCTGGAAAGCCTTTGACAGGGATTGGCATACACGTCTTCTCCACAAGCTGAAAAGTTACGCTGTCTCCGGACATGCTTTTGAACTGATCCAGTCTTTCCTGTTAAATCGTGAAATTAAAGTTATCTCCTGAACGTCCACTCGTCTAGACCCTTTCGTACTAATGTGGGTGCTCTCACCCCAGGGCTGCAACCTGGGTCCTACACTGTTTTTAATTTTCATTATTGATCTTCCCGATGCTATCAGCTCTCAACTTAGCATCTAAGCTGATGTCACAATCATTTGCTCCTGCCTCGATAGTAAGGCTGATCAGTCCGACAAGGTCAAAATGGCAGCCTATGTCCGAAACGACCCCAAGTTGGTCGTTAACTGGGGCAAAAAATGGCTTGTTAATTTTAACGACTCCAAACTAAAAACCTCTCCATTAATTATATAAGATAACCCCTCTCTGGCCTCCATCAGCATGGCTGATGCTAAACTCCAGAAAAGTCCAGGGTATAACGATAAAATACACCCGGCTGTAAGGCCTCTGATCGGGAGGTTTTGAGGTGTGTGGAATCACATCTTAATTGCTGTTGTTCCCAGGTTCATCCTGACCCGGAGTGGTAGCACCTGTTAGGGTCCCAGCTATGGGCAAATAGTGAACCCTCAAACTGAGGTCAAAACATTATGAAAGTATAAAAATATATTTTATAGTAAAAATACCAGTAATACATTTTTGAAAAAAAGAAAATATTACTAGCAATACATTTTTGAAACAAAAGATATTAATACATATTCTATTCATATAAATATTAATACCTGTCTATATTTCTGAGATGAGGTATTATGTACACTATTTACATTATTCGGACTATTGTCCTCATCTTTGTCGCCATATTTATTACAACGTTTCGGCCGTTGTACGCTCCAGCCTTCTTCAGGTGGTTGAAATGTCGAACTGAACCCTTTATTTCGCTCACTGGGGTAGACTGTTCTAGTTCGACGTGCCAGTGGATAAAGGCGTTGGTTAGATCCAGTGACAGGACCCAAAAAGAGTGTGAGTTCAATACCCAGTTAAAGCAGTGGAGAACTTGGAGAGGGGAATTAACAGCAGATAACTGACAACTGACATCCATTCGACATGGCACATGGAACTAGAACAGTCCATCCCAGTGAGCGAAATAAAGGGTTTAGTTCGACATTCCAACCACCTGAAGACGGCCGGAGGGTACAACGATCGAAACGTTGTAATAAATATGGCGACAAAGATGAGGACAATAGTCCGAATAATGTAAATAGTGTAAATATTAATACATATAAATATTAATACATATTCTATTCTTATAATATTAATACATATTCTATTCATATAAATATTAATACATATAAATATTAATATATATTCTATTCATATAAACCTGTTCTAAATATCTTGTCGGCATTAAACCACTCACTAAGGTTGATATGCGTAATTTAGACGATAATTTATCTACAGCAGCTTGTATGTTCTATGAATATAAAACAGAAAGAGGATGAGACCGAGATGAGAGCCCTTGGCAACGCCTGCATTAATCTTACGGGCTTCAGAAGATTGGACATTAATACTGACTTTTCCTGTTAGGAAGGATTTGATCATTGGGAAAACTCTTGCAGAGATTCCATATCTGAAGAGTTTGTGTACCAACCCCTTATGCCAAATCTGGTCAAAGACCTTTAATATATCTTAGAGGATCGCCCTCGGGATGAATGCATTGTCTAATGCTTTATTGATTCTGTATATAATGATAGACATTGATCTATTTTTTTTTTTTTTTTTTTACTTTTCAATAATAATCATTAAAAAATTATTTTTAAAATTAAAATATATTTTTTTCTTTTCAAGGCAACAGCGAAATTGCCTACAAAAGCTGACTTGTCCAAATGCCATCTTGAATATTTACCGGAAGCTCTGTTCATCAATGAAGATCTAAAAACACTGAATCTTCGACATAACGCTTTAAGGGAACGGCCGATCGAGGAAGATATTTATAACATAGGTTGGCTTGATGACTTACCAAGGTGAGTAAATCTTTCATCGTCCCAACAATAATATAATCGACTAAAAGAACATTTTGGGCTTCCAACAGCATGGCTGATGCTAACCTCCAGGAGAGTGACCCATTGAGTTTTATCCGGCATGGAGAATCAATTTCTAGGTCTGCTGCTAGGGAAGTTGGTTCCTTGTGTCATGTTAGACAGTTTTTCTCACCAGAATCTCTCTTGAACATTTATAAGCCCATCATTCGTTCATACGTTGAATATTGCTACCACATATAATCTGGTGCTTCTGCCATGTATTTAGAGATTCTTGATAAAATCCAAAGAAGAATCAGCAATGTTATTGGTCCTGACCTGGCATCTTGACTTCAGTCACTTCCCCACCACCATAATGTAGCTGTCTTGAGCCTTTGCTATAAATATTTTCATGATAATTGTTCTGAAGGTCTTTCCTATTTAGTACCCTCGAATTTATGAATGTAAGCACAGATTGGCAGTTAGGTCTCATCATTTTACAGTTGAAATTGCTAAAAGTTTCTTCTCTTACACTACTCATCTGGTCTGGTGCTTCTCTGCTGTATATTTAGAGATTCTTCTCTGCTATATATTTAGAGATTCTTGATAAAATCAAAAGAAAAATCAGCAATGTTATTGGTCCTGACCTGACATCTCGGCTTCAGCTACTTTTCCACTGCCGTAGCATCCTTGTGCTTTTTCTGTAAACATATTCATGATAACAGTCCTGATGAGCTCTCCTTTTTAGTACCTAGACTTTACGAATTTAAGCGTACTACTAGATTGGCAGTTAGGTCCCATCATTTTACAGTTGAAATTTCCAGATGTAACCGGAAGTTCTATGCTAACAGTTTCTTCTTTCACACTTCTCGCTTGTGGAACTCTCTTTCTGCTTCTTGCATTCCAATCGGTTTTGATCTTCAAAAATTTAAATGTAATCTCAATCGTAATCTTCTGTCTTCTTAATTCCTGTTCTTTTATTGTTCTCTCTCCTTAATATTTGTCTTTTTCTCGTGTTCTTTCATACTCAGCAACCAGCATCGTCGTAGTGACTTTATTGCCTTACTTGAGGTGAAATGATTAAAAAAACAAAACAATAATAATATTCAGACTGTCAAATATCAAGTATCCAGTTCGGAGAATGGGCGAAGTAGAAAAACTGGCGCCTCATGACCAGCTACTTCGGGTAAATGGAGCTCCATAGCCCAGGAAGGTAGTGCACCTAGAGGATGGAGAACTCTAATTTTACATCTCTGCTAACTTCTGATCATATCAAAAACACGGAAAAAGCTATGGAAGTAAATCTATACAGTAACCGGGAATGTATTGGTTTAGGCGGTTGGTTGCTAACGCTGACAACTTTCTGGCAACTCCTGCAACCAAGCCATCCCCAAATATATTCTCTGTATTCCTTTGGATCTTGTCGGTACGGCCGAGAGGTTGGGCATGTTGTCTGGGCAGCGCACAGCCTCCATATAACATCGTCCTGTCCTGTGCCCTTGAGAGGCTACTCCAGTTTCACCATCGAAGAACTGAATTTTGACCAGACAGAGTACTATCTTTTATCTCGAGAGAGAAACGGATGCCTACTAAATATCAAAGACACTACAAATGCGTTGATTCCTATTGAATTATTTGACTGGAATCTTATTAACTATTCAAAGAACTGAAATAGATACAATTACTTTAAACACACAAATTAAATCAGTCACATTATTCACTTGAATTGAAAAGTTATTTATATCTTTGCTATTGAAGATCTTAGAATTTTTTTCGTTTCTTTTTTCCTTTGTATCGGACATATTTTCTATTGCTTTTTAACAGTAAAATAATTATAATAATTAGGCTATTTTCGCAAGTTCAAACGATGAGTTAATAACATTTTATTAGAACTAGCAACTAGATACCAACTCTTTTAGTTTTTTTTCTGTAGGGATATAGATGGAGATCGCTTTTTTTTGCTCAGAATTGATTTTGATAAACCTGGAAGGTGCCCTTGAGAGTCATGTGACAGCTCATTGGTGATGAACTCAAATTTTGGTTTTAAAAAGGTAACAGGAAAACTTTGTAGCCAAAAGTTGCAATTCAGCTAAACATAGCCACGACACAATTCCAATTCCTAAATATCACCTGAACTGTACTAGGTGAGAATCAACATTCCGTGAAGAACTGAAGATTCTAAGCATTTTTAAAGCAGTTGATACAAAATATAGGGGACTCACGTGATTTGTATTTTCTTTAAGTCTTTTTAATTTGCTCTTGAATTAGTCCATTTTTGCAATTTTTTTTTAATATTTTTAAAATGGGAACATCTTGTTTACGATTGGACACGAAGCTAAGCAGATATGAAATTTTGAGAGTCTATGACGTGAAGTATTTCGATTATTCAGCTTTACCTTAATCGGCTAAAGCATGTCAGATCTAACGACGGTCCCCTCTGACAAGGGTGACGGAGGTTCGAATCCTGCCGGAGAGCGCCTATTTTTCATTAATAAGATTTCTTGAATATTCAGGCCAGCAGATAATAAATAAATATCAGTCAGTTAAGTGCCATACGTGATACAAAATATTAATAACGATCATTTCTCTTTCGTCAACAATGAAAAACTGTTCCATTTTTTGCCATTAAATAATAGGATAGACTGGTTGCCAACAAAGGCTATAGGATCCCATCTGTCCTGCTATTCAGCCCATAGCTGGGTTGATGGCTAGAGATGGATTCATATATTTTGCAAGGGCAAGAACATAAGATCTTACTGGAATTCGAACTCATCTCTCCGATTTGTCATTCCGAGCCGTTATCAGCCACACAGCACAAATAAATATATTGTTTAATAATAAATAAACGGACGTCTACTTAAATATGAGTATCCACTAAAAAATAAAGTGGTAAAATACACTATCATCTATATCCCACATAGACAAACTAGAATTATGATACACTTACACATATAAACTATACAGACGAATGCTGCTTGACAAGTCAAATGCACGTGAAGTCTGCTTAATCAATGAAAATGAAATAATACAAAAATAAAAAATACGAGAATTTTTTTCAATGTTTCATTCTCTGATGAAGCTTTAATAAAAGCGAAACATGTTTGATTTATAAACGTTTCCTATATTCTTTATCTTATACTTTTATATAAAAGAAATTCTTTATATATTTTTTGCAAAATATTTTTCACTTTATATATTTTTATAAAAAATTCTTTTCTTTATACATTTCTAATAAAACGAAATTATTTATATATATTTTTATAAAGAATTGTTTTCTTTATATATTTCTTATAATGTTTTTTTTTTATTTTTATATATTTTTATAAAAATTCTTTTCCTCATATCTTTCTTATAAAGAAATTATTTATATATATTTTTATAAAAAAACTAGCAGGCTTCGCCGGCTCACTATCATTTCACAAAGTAAGATATATTCACTACTTGAAATCTTTGAAACCAAAATTTTAAATGAACATTTTATTCATAAATTGACTTATTATAGTTAAGGAGTGTTTTAAAAATTGTTGTAGAGTAGTTTTCACAGTGGAGGCTTGTATTTCAATAAGTCGGTCCTAAAAGGATCCGACGTACAAAACGTTAGGAACTTGAAAATAATAGTTAACGACGCAACAATCTAGTTGGGGTGGTTGATACTTCAATGTCCGACATCGACTGACTCACTCAACTCCACTGAACCCAACTGGCCACTGCTACTACTACTTATTATCTATGGGAGAGTCTATTACAATAGAATAGGTAATCTTCTGGTATGACACAAATAGATGTCAACTTGTTGAACGCAAAGTAAATTGCAAATTTCAAACACTTTTCTGCACTATATAAGACGATATTCCTAAACAGAATTATTTTTTATATGAAAATCAAAACAATCCTTGAATAAAAGAACAGTAATTAAGGACAGTTAATTAATGAAATATACTTTTTTTTAAATCAATATGCAAATTAGTTAAAGAGTGATATCACCTAGACGTAGATAATATATAATACAGATACTGAGCTTTTAAATATAAATTTATTTTTGCTGGGGACATACATTCGGATAGCAAAATTGGTCACAGTGCTCCGTCCCTGAAAATTGGTGGTAGGGTATTGAGCTTCGACTGTCTTGGAAAAGCTTTGACAAGCCAATATAGCTATGACAAGCTGATGAACCCTATGACCAAAACTTTTTTAAACCAGTTCTGACCAGCTAAGACCAGCGGCATTAATTGATTTGTTCAAAAAATATTTGTTGAAAACTGAATTTTTTTGTCGCAACCTAAGGTAAGTGGGGGGTCAAAAAAATACCATGTTTATAAATTTGATGTTTTTTGAAAGGTATTTTAACGCAGTTATTATCATCTCTCAGTTGCATCTGCCTTTTTGGACAGAATGCGCTTATCCATCTTCTCTGTCAAAGGACACAGGTCACCAAAGATGAGAAAATTATACTGAGAGGTGCCCAGCCCTGGGGAACAGCTGCCCGAGGCTGCGCCCCCATTGGACAAAGGGGAGGGATCGGTGCTCGCACCAAAGGCCAAGCGCAATTGACGGTTGCGGGGCTGAGGGCATTTTTATTCCTTGTCCGGATTGTACGCGCTTGGGTCCCCCCTTTTTTAAAAAGACCTTGTATCACATCTCGTCCTAACATGGGGGAAACAAGTTAATTTGCGTATAAATTATTTAATTTCACGTTTATTTATCATCTCTCAGTTGCGTCTCTGTGTTTGGATTTTGATGTGCAACTGAAAATCAGAGTTGATTGTTTTCAAACTGAGGTGCCCTTCCCTGGGTTCACACCAATCGGTGTTCTTCATTGCACCAGAGGGAGGATCGGTGTTCAAACTGAGGCCAGCGCAATCGAAAGGTAAAAGGGTCTATTAATAAAATTTTTTTTCCCTTGCCCGGGTGCACGCGCTTGGGTCCCCACTTTTAAAAAGACCTTGTGTCATATCTCGTCCTCATGGGGGAAAGATTAAACACTGTATAAATTACTCTAAAGTAGAGTTGGGTTTTTTTAATCCCCAAAATTCGTTGGATAATTGCGCTTCTATTTTTTTATTTATTCATCTAGATTCCATAATATAGGTTTTACTTAATTACCTATTATGTTTCTCTAACTCTTCAAATGTTGAATGTATAACTAATTCTAATTTCTATTTCTCCATCTTTACACAATATTAATTTTATCTTTATTTTAATTGTCCTCTGTTCTGTCAAGCTTGAAATAAAAATAATTGTTTGTATGGAAAATAAGGATCTACGTACATCAAATTGTCTTTAAATTAAGTGGCAGCAGAAGAATTATCGTTGAACTTTTAAAGGTAAGCTTAAATATTAATGCAATACTTAAATGCAGCGATCAATTTTGATTTCTTCTGTAGTTTATTGATGTCTATCATATCTACTCCTCCCTAGCTATTGTGATGATGGCCAAACCAAGAGTTCTCCATAGGAGCTAGTTTAAATGCCGCCCGATAGGCGGCTTTTAAGCTAGTTTATAATAAACCGTGCACTGCAATTTTGGATACAAAAGGAAAATAATAGTAACTCCTCTTAAACTATAAAAGCGACGATAATGGCCAGTATAATATATTAATATATATTTTTAACCTCGCATAATCAGGCAACCCTGAACCTGAGCTCAACGAAAATCGTTCCCTCCGCCTAACTTTTCTAGGGCATTTGAATGAGTTATCTATCATTGAAACCGGACCAGTGGGGAGCGGGAGGGGTTGCTTGGACACACACATGCACAGACACATACACTGTACTTTATATATAGGATTGTTTTCTTTATATATTACTTATGAAAACATTTTATTTATATATATTTTAATAAAAATTATTTTCTAGATATTTCTTATAAAAATATTTATATATATTTTTATAAAAAATTCTTTTCTTCACATATTTCTTATAAAAATTTATTTATATATATATATATATATATATATATATATATATATATATATTTATAAAAATATTTTCTTTATATATTTCTTATACAGCATTTTTATATTTTTACTTAATATTGAAAGTTTCAAACTTTCTCTTTATACTGACGAAATATTATTCTCACAAAAATATTTTTTCAATTATTTTCAGATTCTATAATCTATGTACTTTAAATTTGGCCAACAACGATTTGAAAAGCTTTCCCCTTGCCATTTGTAGTATACGAAGTCTTGTTGAGTTAAATATGGCGAGTAACAAACTGGAGGAGATCCCGTCTGAAATTGTTGAACTGTGCAGGTAATTTTGATCAGTTTTTCTTTCTTTTTTACATAAATTCACTGATTTCCGGTCGCTTTCATTTGTATTAAGATTTTCATCTCCCACTCTCTTTCACTCCACCTCTCTCTCTCACACACACACTCTCTCTTACTCACTCACTCTCTCACTCTCTTCCCCCTCTCTCTCTCTCTCTTTTGCTCGCTCGCTCTTTTAATCACTTTCTCTCTCGGAATCATTGCCTTAGACTCTTTCTCCCTCGCACTCGCTGTTTTATATATATTCCCCCTCTCTGTGTCTAACTCTCTTTCTGATTCTCCCTCACTCTCTTTCTATCTCTCACTGTCTTAATATTTTTCTCTCTCTCACACACACACACGTTTCCTTACCGTATTTCTCTCTCACTCTACTAATATTTCTTCTCTCCCTCTAACTTTATCCCTCATTTTATTATGCTCTTTTTCCCTCTCATTATTTTTCTCTGTCCCTCGCTCACCCACTTTATTTTGCTATTTCTTAACTCTGGCTCACTCTCTTTATCTTGCACTCTCTCTCTCTCTCTCTCTCTCTCTCTCTCTCTCTCTCTCATTCTCTCGAACTCTATCTTTAACATTTTTACTCTCTATATATAATACTCTTTCACTCACTTTCTCTCATTCTTTTATTCTCTCTTTCCCTTACTCTCTCTCTCTCTCTCTCTCTCTCTCTCTCTTTCTCATTCAAGTGTCATGAAAAAAGTAATACCTGTTCTAATTTAATTTTGTTTTAGAATTTCTATGCATTTTATAAACCATAAAGTGTCGAAAGGCTAGATCCGGCAGTCAACATCAGAAATGAGTTCATGCCTTTCTCATTGGTGCAATCAACTGGAAGCTTTATTTTGAAAGCTGATTTTGAAAACATAAACCCTTCTCTCTCCCTCTCTCTATCTCTGTCTCTCCCCCTCTCTCTCTCTCTCTCTCTCTCTCTCTCTCCCCCTCTCTCTCCCCCTCTCTCTCTCTATCTCTATCTCTCTGGTCACACAATAGAAATCAGTCAAAATTTCTAATTTTGGAAGGATAAACTACTGCAAACATTAAAATATTTACGTTGAGCTCCTTGATAAAATCCAAAGATGAATCTGCAATATTATCGGTCCTCATATGGCGACTCTGCTTCAGTCACTTTCCCACCGCCATAAGGTTGACACTCTGTGTCTTTTCTATAAATATTTTCATGGTAATTGTTTGGATGAGCTTACCGCTATGCTACCAAGAGTTTTTGAATTTAAATGCAGCACTAGACTGGTGTCGAGATCTCATCAATTTACAGTCGATCTGCTAGATGCAACCGTAAGTTCTATGGTAACAGTTTCTTCTCTTGCACTTCTCGCTTGTGGAACTTCCTTTCGGGTCCATGCTTTCCAGTCAAGCTTAATAAAAAATAAATACAATATCAATCGCTATCTACCTGATTACTCTCTTCTCTTTCTCCTTATCATTATTGTTTCTGTTCCTAATTCTTCCACGCCCTGTAACCTCCTGTGTTTTAGTGGCATTACTGCCTTGCTCGGGGTGATTCGGAGTAAAAAATAGGTTAGTGAAAGCTTATGCAAAGTCTGAATTTGATGTAAATACAATAAGGAGATTTGTGTTCAATTAATACAAGGCGCAAGAGAAGGAAGTGAAGATTATGTAAATATGTAGGATAGATAATGGTTGACCCTAATTTTGAAGGATTAAGGTTTGATTTGGTTTGTATTGGTTTACGGCATATCAACACCTCAATGGGTTATTTAAAACCGACAAGATTTTTATTGTTGGTAATATTTTTTTCTTTAAGAAAGTATTTCTGGTAATATTTTTTCCCAAAATGTATTTCTGGTAATATTTTTTTCTAAAAAAGTATTGCTGGTAATAATTTATTTCTGGTATTAAAACCTATTTTACAATTTCATAGTGTCTTGACCCGGTTTGGGGGTTAACTACTTGACCATAGTTAGGACCCTAACAGGTGCTACCACCCCGGGTCTGGGTAGAACTGGGAACACCAGCAATTAAGAGGTGGTTCCACACTCCTCAAAACCTCCTGATCAGAGGCCTTGCTGTCGGATGCAGTTTATCGTCAAATCCAAGATGCGGATGTAGTTTACAGTCTTACCCAAGACGCGGATGTAGTTTATCGTCAAACCCAGGACACTTGAAGGTTAAGATTATAGTTATCGGGAAAGCATCCTCCCAGGTGTCTGCTCGACAAAGTGGCTGTTGTGTAGAAAGACTGACTAACCTCCTCTACACTTATTATTGAAACATGGACTCGTCCAGGGACAAAAAGTAGGTTGCAAAGATGAGATTTTTCGAATATTGGGGCCAGCAGATGAAAATAAATAAATATCAGACAGTTAAGTGCCATACGTGATATACTCTTGAGCGATCATGTCTTTTCTGATTCATGATTTCTATGATAGACTGGTTGCCAACCAAGGCTATAGGGCATAGTCTGTCCTGCTCTTCAGCACATAGCTGGGAGGGGGAGGAATAGGTATGGATACATACCATTGCCAAGGTTATTTGCGCGTATGGATACATACCATTCCCAAGGTTATTTGCGCGTAAGTGATTGTAATGAATCTGGCTGGGATTTGAACTCGTCTCTCCGATTTCTCATTCCAAGCCGTTATCTATTACACCACACACACACACACACACACACACATGCATATATATATATATATATATATATATATAATATTAAATTAACAGACATCTACTCAAATATGAGTAACCACTAAAAATAACGTTTAAAGTGATAAGATACATTATCATCTGTATTCCATATAGACAAACTAGAATTAAGATACACTTACACACATAAATTATACGAATGCTGCTTGACAAGTCAAATGCACGTGAAGTCTGCTTAATCAATGAAAATCTAAACAATACAAAAATAAAGAACATCAGAATTTTTTTCAATATTTCATTCCCTGACGAAGCTTTAATAAAAGCGAAACATGTTGACTTGTAAACGTTTCCTGTTTGTTTTTTATCCTATCATATACTTTTATGCAAAAAATTTCTTTATATGTTTCTTGTAATATATTTTTCACTTTATATATTTTTATAAAAAATTCTTTTCTTTACATATTTTTTTATGAAAATATTTTATTCAAATATATATTTTATATACACATACACGCGTGAATCATACACACGAACGTTGCTTGACAAGTCAAATGTACGTGAAATCTGCTTAATTAATAAAAATATCAGAATTTCTTTCTTCTTTTTCTCCATATTTCATTTTCTGACGAAGCTTTAATAAAAGTAAACCATGTTAGATTACAAAACATTTCCTATTTTTTATTTATCCTATCATGTACTTTTATATAAAATGTTTTATCATTTTCCGTGGTACGCTTGTCCCACTGAATTACACTATTTTCAGTCCTTGTTCTCATATGATTAAACCCTATTTCTCTCAACCCTTTTGTTTCCAGTGTTTTCCTTAAACTCTTACTAACCAGAAGTCCGGGCATAGCAGTTCTCTAGAAGAATATGTCTGAGTGTAACTTCTTTCTTAGTAATGAAATACAAAGAGTATGTGACATGTCTACGTGGCATGACGGATCCTAGCTGTAAAGGTCTGAACTGGTGGAATGAAGGAATGCAACGCATTTGGACATTTGGCATGGAAACAATGATAGAGTAGCGATAGGCTTGCAACTTTTCGTCTGTGGGAAAAGGGCTGTAGGGTGGAAAATATTTCATCGCCCGCAATGAACTTGAACTCTGTTAATGTTGGAAAAGAAAGATTGGTTAGCTCCAGATAGTTAAGCAGAGTTAATTTGAATCTTAAAAAAGAGAGACAGACCCCAATAACAGGTTACTAGAAGTTTCGGACCAGAAGGAAGTTTATGTCACTATCAATTGCCACCCCTACGTGTGTACATCATAGTTTGAGTCTGTTTGAGCCCATCAAGGGGACACTTGCAAGACAGATCTTCAATGATGATGAGGTGAAAGTGGCAAATTGCACATAAGAAAGCAGCCAAAAGGCTTATGAGAGAGATACGCATATTTGCTTTCGAAGACTTAACACGACAATTGAGAAGGAAGGAAACTATGATTAGAAATAGATTATGGAGGCTGGAACTATAGTTTTCAAATTGGTGGAAGTAGAAGAAGTAAGTAGATTTGCAACCGTCAAAAGTTTCTCTTCATTTTAATCTACTTTCGTTTGGAATCCTGAGGCTTTCCTCTTCGTTTTGGTCTACTTTCGTTTGGAATCATGAGGCTTTCCTTTTCATTTTGGTCTGATTTCGTTTGGAAACCTGAGACTTTTCTCTTCATTTTGGTCTGCTTTTGATTGGAATCCTGATATATTTCTCTTTATTTTGGTCTGCCTTAGTTTGGAATCCTGAGACTTTTCTCTTCATTTTGGTCTGCTTTCGTTTGGAATCCTGAGACATTTCCTTCATTTTGGTCTGCTTTTGTTTGGAATCCTGATATATTTCTCTTTATTTTGGTCTGCCTTAGTTTTGGAATCCTGACTTTTCTCTTCATTTTGGTCTGCTTTCGTTTGGAATCCTGAGACATTTCCCTTCATTTTGGTCTGCTTTTGTTTGGAATCCTGATATATTTCTCTTTATTTTGGTCTGCCTTAGTTTGGAATCCTGAGACTTTTCTCTTCATTTTGGTCTGCTTTCGTTTGGAATCCTGAGACATTTCCCTTCATTTTGGTCTGCTTTTGTTTGGAATCCTGATATATTTCTCTTTATTTTGGTCTGCCTTAGTTTGGAATCCTGAGACTTTTCTCTTCATTTTGGTCTACTTTTGTTTGGAATCCTGAGGCTTGCCTCTTCGTTTTGGTTTGCTTTCGTTTGGAATCCTGAGACTTTTCCCTTCATTTTGGTGTGCTTTGGTTTGGAATCCTACGTTTCTCTTCGTTTCTTCTGCTTTATTTTGAAAATCTGAGACTTTTCTCTTCGTTTTCGTCTGCATTGATTTAGAATCCTGAAACTTTTCGTCAGCTTTGGTTTG